AAGGGTGGTTAGAAGAGTTCCAGCAGCTCCTCCTGCTCCCAGAGGCGGCCTCCTCCTCCAGGCACAGATGTCTGTCTGCAGCTGGGCATCCAGGCTGTTTGCCCCTGATGTGCTGTCCAGGACAGGCTCTTAACAGGTAGGCAGAGGGTGAGGGGACCAGGAGGCAGCTCCAAAGGGTACAGCAAGCAAAGCTTTTAAAGACAGCACTTGTGCCCCAGGCTCTCTGTGCCACCACCTGCCCTAGCATTTATTAATAGTGTTAGAATTGCAAGTTGATGAAACAATATTTCAATAAAGTTTGATTTCCGGAACTTCACGCCTTTTTGAACTCCCTAATGTTAGACGGTGTTTTTGAGGCGATCCTGAAAATCTCTGATAGTTGTGTCTTTTGTTGTGGTTGTTTGTGTGATTGAATTACCATCGAGTCAACTGTTACTGGAAACTTTTCAGGTATGGCTTTTAGAAGACTTTGACTTACTCTTGCCTGTTTTGACTCTCTGGTTTTATTGTGGAAAGAGGGAATGATGTAGGCTCATGTCTCTGGCAGATCAATCACCTTTTGCCATCAAGGATTTGGCATCAGAGTTTCCAAGAATTATGTGTGCAAGTTGACATGCTGGCACTTTAGCTAATCTGGGTGTCAAAACAGAATGCCACAGACTAGGTAGCACAGAAAATTGATTTCTCACAGTTCTGGAGATGGTAAAATCCAAGGTCAAATGGTCAGCAGATTCCGTGTCCGCAGAGGGCTGGCTTCCTGGTTCATACATAGCCATCTTTTTACTGTGTCCTTACATGACAGAAGGGATGAGGGAGCTCTCTGCAGTCCCTTTGATAGGGGCACCAATTCCATTCACAAGGTCCCTGCCTTCATGAACTTATTCACCTGCCAAGGCCCCACCTCCAAATACCATCACATAGAATTAGAATTCAACACATGAATTTGAGGAGGATAGTAACATTTGCTTTACAGAATCAGGTCTCCCCGAGCCATATGCACTCACAAGAAATCTATAACTTTCTATTAAGTATTTGCTGGTCCCCTTTGGGACTAGGGAATTTTTTTTCCTTTAAGAAAAATGATCTTTCATGTGATCCATGGTTTATTCATAGAAAAGCACTGTGAGTTCACACACTTGCTAAAAACAAGGGCAATTGTGATACAAAAATGAGAGTGATTTCTCTCTCTCTCTCCCCCTCCTCTCTCTCTCTCTCTGTCTCCCTCTCCTCTCTCTCTCTCTCTCCCTCCTCCCTCTCTCTCTCTTTCTCTCTCTCTGTCTTTTTTAACCAACCCATTGGGCTGAGACGTTGTGGGGCGCTTGGCTGGGCAGTAGGACTTGAGTAGCCACAAAAGGCAAATACAACTTCTTGGTCAGTTTTGAGTAGAAAAGCTGACAATTTGTCAACAAAAGAAAAAGTAAAGCAGATGAAGAAGTTCTTAGTTCGCATTCTAGCTACACCACCTCTTCCCTATCAAACCCCACCCCCAGCTCAGGAACTAGGACATAAAAGAGTAAACACCAAGGCACTGGTAACCAACTGACTCTTCTGAATGCCCTTGCTATCTCCTACAACAATTCCAGGCTGAGCATAGGGGTCAGGAAGGTGGCAGGAACACGATGATTCACTGTGGAGGTCAGCCAGGGCTAAGACAGGGCTGCTCACTAGGGCTAGAAATTAGGAAGGGAGAGGCTAAGTGCAGACCAGCCCTAGCCTCCAAGTCAGCAAGCAATGAGACTGTGACAAAAGCAGACAGAGGAAGCTTGAGGTAGAAAGGTAGGAGAAGAAAGCAAGTACGGGGCGAGAAGAGAACTGGGCAGCGAAGGCAGCCGATCTGATGGCAGAGAGAGGCTGGTGTTTAGAAGCTCGTTTGGGGAGAGAATGAATAGAGGAGGCACAGAGATGGGGAACAAACATTTAGCTGGTGAGAGAGATTTAAGATGAATGAGAAGAGAAATCTCACAAAAAGGACAGATTCATGCAGATCCTCTAAGATGAACACGCAGTCATCCCTACATGTAGAAATATGCTCAGTTACACATATAAAAACACAGATGCATGGAGAGCAAGCATACACACAGACACATATTTCTACACATGCACTCATGTGTGCCCAGGTACACACACGCTAAACATGCAAAACATGACAGCATTTACACATAGATATGCATCCTCACATGTATGCAAATGTTACATCCTCACACAGAGACCCACAGTCCAGTGTGCACATATCCACACAGGTACGCAGCCATAGAACTGACATAGATGAGCATAAAGATGTAATGTGCACATACAGACAGGCATGCGCAGATATATCTATGCACACAGACACATGTATTGAGTTACACAGATACACACACTCTCTTAACACAAAGGTGACCAGTGTAGATGAATATTGTGAGCTCAGTGGCCTCGCAGACCTTCATCTTTTCCCTGCACTTGTTTCAAAGGTGCTCAGCAGACTCCTGGCGAGGCTGTGTGAGGCAGGGGCAGGAGCTCCAGAGTCCTTATAGCTTTGTGAGGCAAAAGTCTAAGTCCAGTCCTGGCCTCTGCAACTCACCCACCACTGGGCTATTAATGCCCTGTCTGCAGGGGAGAGATTCTGCATAGACTAGTCTTGGGATTTTTTCTAACTGGCCGTTTTTCTCCTTGGCACCCGCACTGTCCCACTGGGAAGGGCATACACTCTGGAAGGGAAACCTGAGAAATGGTTGTGAGTCTCCTCAGACAATAAGCATATCCTCCACCCATAGGTACCTCAAGGGCCCATCAAATCAGAACCAGGATTATTAATACTTGCGACTTTACAGTAGTTGGCAACACATATACTATAGCATTTACGGTACCACAAATGCATCTGTTTCTCTGGTTCAGCAATCTCTGAGACGGAACAGTGCTCTGTGTTTGCCAAGGGAGACAGCGCCAAAGCCCAGGACACACAGGACGTAGGGGCAGAAGGTGACATATCGTGGGGTTTCTGGTCAATCTGCAGGGCCCAGCTCCTCCATGAACAGTGGGCTGTAGTGAGAAGCTTGCCAAGGTATGCGTATCCACTAGAGCTGGGCTCTCCCCATCATTAGCCCCGTGGTCCTTTGGCCTCAGCCACAGGTGCTCAGAGTCTTCTCAGGGTGGACAAATGTTTCAGTGTCCTCGGCCTGACCTAATAATTCCTGGGGACCCAGGCTGCCGGGCAGGTGAGCTATCTGCTTTCTCAGCCAAAGGGCTCTAGAACCAGCAACATCAGCTGGTTATAACCACTAAAAAAATTTATATGAAGACATATTCTTTAAAAAAAAAAACTATATATAAATCAAAATATAATTCTAAAGAAAACATCCAAATAACCCAAAGGAAGCAGGAAAAAGAAAACAGAAGTAATAACCAGAGACACAAACAGAAAACAAAAAACTATTATTCCCTAATATATCAGTAAATATATTAAATGTGATGATCTAAATACACCAATTAAAAGATACATTGACAGAGCAGACTTTTTTAAATGATTCAACTATATAGTGTCTAGAAAAAAATTCACTGCAAATATAATGATTACAGGCAGGTTGAAAATAAAAAAATAAAAATCATACATCCTGCAAACATTAATCTACAGCGAACAGAGTAGTTATATTATCATATAAAGTATATTTCAGCATAAAGAAAATGACCAGAGACTGAGAGGAATATTACATAATGATAAAAGGGTCAATTCACTGAGACATAGTGAGCCTAAATGTTCATGCACCTTTAAACATCAGAGCTGCAAAATAATGTGAAGCTAAAACTAATAGAACTGAAAGGAAAAATAAATAAATCCACAAATATTGTTGGAGACTTCAACACCTCTCAATAACCAAACTAAAGCAGTCCTAGGAGGGAACTAAATGTAACTAAAATGCTCACATTAGAAAAGAGGAAAGGTCTCAAATCAATAATCTATGTTTCTACCTCTAGAACCTAGAAAAAGAAGTACAAAATATACCAAAAGCAAGAAAAAGAAGGAAATAATAAAGATAAAAGTAGAAATCAATGAAACCGAAACCAAATCAATGAGCTGGTTCTTGGAACAAACTGATAAAATTGACAAACTTCTGACAAGACTAACAAAAAAAAGACATAATAGCACAAATTAATAACAGAACTAAAACAGGGATATCATTACAGATTTTGCAGGCATCAAAAGGATAATGAAGAATACTAATACAATTCTACAAATATTAATTTGACAACATACAGAAAATGAACCAATTTCACTGAAAAACACAGATAATTTAAATGATACTATAAATATTAAGGAAACTGAATATGCAATGTTATAACACACACAAAAAAATCTCCAAGCCCAGATGGTTTTACTTAAGATTTCTACCAAGTGTTTAAAGAACGCTAATTCCATATAATCTTTCCAAGAAAACAGAAGAAACACTTTCCAATTCATTTTATGAAGCTAGTATTACCCTGATACCAAAACCAGACAAACTATATACAAAACCCAAAAATTTGTTAAAAGGGAAAAAAGAAACTATGGACTAACATCCCTCACGAATATATAGTAGTTCACCCTCTCTCCCATCCATGGTTCCGTGGTTTCACTTTCCTGGGTTTGTTACTCACAGTCAGCCACAGCCTCAAAATATTAAATGGAAAATTCCTGAAATAATTTACAAGCTTTAAATTGCACGCCTTTCTGAGTAGTGTGATGAAATCTTGCATCATCCTGCTCCATCCCTGGTGGGATGCAGATCCTCCCCTTTGTCCAGCGCATTCATGCTGTATACTCCACCTGCCCCTTAGTCACTTAGTAGCCATCAGTTATTAGATCGACTGTGGTGGTACTGCAGTACTTGTGTTCAAATAACACTTGTTTTACTTAATAATGGCCCCAAAGCACAATAGTAGTGATATGGTTTGGCTGGGTCCCCAACCAAATCTCATCTTGAATTGTAA